ATGTTAATGAGTGTTTCGTTTCCGTAAATAATTCTTCGGATGTAATAATTTCTGTGTAATTCATTTGGATGTGTATTGAACTCCAAGTGATGTTTCGTGAACTGAAGCGATGCCATACTTAAGATCATTGCCTGCATAACGCCGTGCGATCCGGAACTGATTAAGTGATGACAGCCTTGTTTCTCGAGTGTCAACAGCCATAAGTTGGCGATTCTGTTCACATCATTCAAAGTGTCTAATTTGGACCATAATGTGGACGCCTGTAGTGTCGAGTGTCCGTTATAGCAATGATCCGGTGATAATAAAAGTGCTTTACTTTGAGATATTTTGTGCCCAAAATCACTTAAACTCATTAATTCGGAATCATATGGAAGTGTATTTGTTTGAGACATCAGGCAATAAAGAGTTGCATTAATCAGATCTCCGTTCAAAGCGTTGGGAGCCATCGAGTGACTTATGCCGAAACCACTGCTCCAGAGGTCGTTCCACATCGAGATGTGATACTTCTCGAGAGCACTTGGAGTCAACTCCAACGCCTTTTTCACTGTTTCACGCACTGCTACCTTAAGTTCGGGCACTTTGGCTGCAATTTGTGAGATGGGGGTCGGGATCGTGTAATTGAGAAATGTCTGAACACGTATTGTCTGCGCGCTGTGACTGTCTATCTCTATAGTGTCCGTCAACTGAGAGTAGGCGACCCCTACAGCTACCACTCGATTTAAATGACTCCATTGGGACGCATCCAACTGTCCCACAAGAAGTGAATATTCTTTCTGTTCCTTATTGGGCACAAGCATTGGCTGCACTTTGATGTTGGACTCACCCATCCATCCCTTTCGCGACAATTTGATGATAAGCGGCACATCCTATCAATTGAACACACAATTGGATACAGTTATCGCATGAGTCTAACACTTATTTAACTTACGGTTGGATTTGTAATTCTAATCTCTTGTACAAAGAGTGCGGGTATGAGTCGGTGGGCATAAAATGTTTGCTTAATTGAAGCACTTTTCTTGAGATAATCAAAACATGTTATCTTATTAACAATTCCGTCTTTGAATCGGATCACATCGGCGTCTGAAATATAATTCGCAGATATTTTAGATGTCATGAAAAATGGGATCAATTCTTACGCTGAGAAACGGCCCCAAAGTAGTCGATGTCAACGATTGGATGGAAAGGAAGGCTTAGATCTAAGGCTCGTTTGCCTAATATATTGAAACTGTTGTCACTATTCTGGACACTAATCGCAAACTTTCCGTTTCCAATGTATGGCAACAAATGTTTGGCGCTCTCTTCGGACATGTCATAACTTTTCCATATCTTTGTGTCAAAGTTGTGGTCATCGACGAGGAATGGATGGATATGTCGCTCAATGCACTCAATGTTATTATCTGTTTAAGACATTTGGCACACAATTAGTGCTAAACTTAATGTGAGTTTGCATTAGAAATACCGGAATAAGTGATTGATTTTGTCCACAGTTTGTTAAATATGAGAGGAATTACGTAAAGGACTATAACTAAGGCTACGATTATTATCAGAAAAAGTCTTCGGCGACTGAAATGGACATAAGATTTATAAACAATTAATTCATCTGTAAATGTGATGTGAATTGAATGCAAATATAGATGACATACGAATAGAAATTATCATATCTTTTACAACGTCTTAAGAAGAGATCAATTGTGTCGAAGACTGCCATCCCTTTCATTGAATTCAAGTATTGATGGTATCTATTGCTTAGCATTTGTCTCACAAATTGTCTTTGAATGTGACGCCAAACCCCTTGTCGGTGACAATCAAGACATTTGACTCGCAATGCTATTACACAACACAAAGTTTGCTAAACAAATGCTTTTAACTTA